TGAGCAAATTTGGAACTTTATCGGATCTATCTACTATCAAAAAGACTACAAATTGAACACTTTGCATTCTCAGTACTACAGACCTTTAAAGGGTAAAAAAATTATTGAGAGTCTTAATTTAGAAAGGCAAGAATCCAATGAAATGAAAGATAAAAAAAAGTATTTCGATTAAAAAACAAAAAATCCATCCAAATGCAGTTTATATCAGTCGAGTCTTTACAACAAAGTCAATTTCAATTCCAACTGACACAGGTACCTTCTATTTCTAAATATAAATCATATCGATATTATCGTTTCACGTTAATTAAAATTTATATCGAATATTTAGGGTTGACAAGTGTCAGTCTGTTTGTTCCAAACGAAGGTAAATATATATTTTTTTCTATTGACTTCATTAATTAATTGGATTGCAAAACAGAAATTAACGAGAATGGAGATCTATCGAGTTTCTTTCAAGAAGAACAACTTCATGATGCAACACTTCCAATATCATGCTCGTTATTATATGAAACTGGTAAGCATGGCTTATATATGCGTTATCGTTATAGAATCACATTAAAAGGATAAAAATTATACATGTATTTTTTTTTAATTTGTTAGCATCATCAAAAAACTTTAGCGTTAGAGATGATCCTGAACAACGATAGAATTACATGCAATAGATTCATACAAAGCGAAAGCAATCTTATGCTATAATAAATACATCAATTATATTAAATACATCAATTATATTAAATAAATGAAAAATATCCATTACGTATCGTTACCATTATATGCTAGATCACGATCAGTATTTAATGAATAAAACTTCATTGTTATCTTTAATTTCTGATTGTTTCGCCGCAAGTTACATTAAAAAATCGATATAACGATAGGTCGAGGATAATTAATAAAAATTCTGTAAAATATCGTTATATCGGGAATTTATTATATCGAGGAAGTTTTTAGTAGTTTTGGGTTGTCATCAAGATTTTAATTAGTCCTCGTGTCAGTATATCGAGTTGTACTTTATGGCATTGGACCACGTTTATTTACCCGTCATTTCAAAGTTTCAAATAAAACACTGATTTTATAAATACTCATCATTGTAGTGAGTGCATTTTTTATCGGGTACGGGATTACTACAATAAGTGTTCGGATCACAATACTCATGATTGTAGTAAATGCACTCGTTGTCAATATTATAACGATAAGTACTGCAACGAATGTTCAGTTCACAATACTCATGATTGTAGTAAATGTTACGGTTTTCGAGAACGAAATTAGTAGTAAATGTACTCGTTGTCAAGAAAATGAGTTCTGCGATGCATGAGTTTAGATGTTATGTACCATATCATCTATAGCCCATTTAGTACTGAACATTCGTCATTTTGGCACTCTCAGAACCAATTAGATACGTAATCGGATTGGTTCAGAAATAAATCTGGTCTGGATATAGAAAAATACGTAGACATAACAAATGTCGCAAAAGAAAGGAGTCTATGCTACACAGTCGGTAACCATCATTATATTACCTTTCTTCTTTTTCGACTCTTCCATTCTAAGCTTTATCACTTTCAGCAACAGATGACACAAGCTTTCGCCGTACCTGGGACAAACAAGAATACGAACAGTATGCACAAGATCGAGCTCGTCGTAAACAACGGCTAGAAGAGGAGGAAGAGCGAAAACGTAAAGATCTAAAAACCTAAACCAGCTGACGATGTTTTGGATGAAGAGGGGCCTCGTGATTTGCTTACAGCGCGCACAGAGAAAGTTGTGCTCGATGCTAACTTGAATAGGACCCAGTTGGTTCAAAGCACTAGTATTGCTTCGAAACAACTAGGATATTATTGTAAAGTGTGCGATTGTGTGGTGAATGATAGTGTCAATTATTTGGATCACATTAATGGAAAAAAACGTGAGTATTTGTTCTATGCGTGTGAGCTTATTTGATATGGATTTATCGTTTATAATGTTCTTGCAATTGGTAGTGAGAATAGAAACATGAAGGATTGGTTTATGACAATACTTAAATTTTTATTCCCTTTTCATAAAGTTCAAAGAGCATTAGGTCGAATTATGAAAGTAGAGCGTAGTACATTGGATCAAGTACAAAAACGACTGGCTCTTCTAAAAAAAACAGAAAGAAGAGAAATCACAAGAATATAGTTAATAAAAATACATGAATGATATATAAATAACTTAAATTCTATAAAAATAATAATGTTCATGAATTCTATTTATAGATTATGAAATTAATGTGATTAACTACTACGTAAAAAGATCTTTAATAAAACTCAATCAAAACATTATTATGAGCAAAATATAAATAAATAATACTAGAAACAAATAAAATATCACTTTAAAAAAAAGAAAAAAAGAAATAGATCAACATTCCAAATTATTGTTATATATACAAATAAATAAATAAAAATCATATAATAATATGATAATTGATGAAACTAATAAATATAAAGTTCAAATTTTTCACAAATAAATAAAACAAATCAAATAGTTTATATATGAAAACAAGAAAAAATTATAATCTATATCTTATATCTAATTCAGATATTATAAGAATATTAATTCCAAGAAGTTAGTATAATAAATCATAACTAAATTTTAATTAGTAAAAATAAATATATATAAATAATTAAAGTTAATAATAATTACAAATTGAATAATTAATTAACTTAGCTAATAATTAGAAATACTGAATTTAATATATTTGTACTAATATTATTTAAAAAAGAAATTTTAGTAATCTTTAAAAATACTATTATTATTAACAAAATTCCAGAATACTAAACCAGCAAAATTCCAAATTACTAAATTAGCAAAATTCCAAAATTCTGAACTAAAATAAAGTATATTTTTTTATTATTTAATATTCTCTTAATAATTTAATTATTAAGTATACTCAAACAAGTTATCTTATTCAAACCAACAAAATCTAATAATATTCAAACCAACAAAAAATTCAATAACATAATTTCTAAATATTATACTAGAAATATTAGACTAAAAATATTAAACTGAAAAACTAAAAATATTAAACTAAAATATTAAACTAAAATATTAAAAATACTAAATTATAAAAAATTTAGATTATTTTAATTTAATTTTTAAAAAAATTATTATTTTTTATTTTTTTTGGATTTTTAAAATAAAACTTATATTTTTATTTAAAAATTTTTTCTATTTTATTTTAAGTTGCATTTTAAATTAATATAATCTTGCAATATTATGAATAATAATATAAATTAAATATTTTTTTATTATTTTTGAAAAAATTAATATGTATTTTATATTTTTTTAATATTTTAAACTATATTTAGATTATTGTATCTATTTTGGTCAACAAACTCTCAAAATACTAGAATTATATATATTTTTTTTAATTATTTTCTATTTGTTTATTTTATATTTATATATATTTTTATTCATTATTAAATAATATAAAAAATTAAATTAAATTAAATTAAAATATTATATATATATATAAGTATTTTAATATTAATTACAATAAACTTATTATTAATATTATATAAAAAATATATAATTTTATAATATATAACTATACTTTCAAGCTTCAAAATAAAAAATCAGAGTAAAAAAATATTATTTTATTTTAAAGCTTATATTGTAACAATTTTCACATACCCTTGTAATTTCTTGTATCATGTTTATCCTTTTCGTGTTATGTTTATCATTTTCTTGCATAACATGTATAATTTAACACAGATCTACATTAATACTTCTCAATGTTTCGCTAATTAGATTAGATGTGAAATGTAGATCATATTATTAATTTGGATACACATTGTTTTTAATTACTTT